AGTTCCGTATCAGGATGGTGAGTGGCTTGGAGGAAAACCTTCATGTAGTGTTTACCATGCAGCTGCTGCACTCGTCCTGCTTGATGGTAGAGGATGTGGGTTTTGGAAGGATTTTTCAAAAGACCTTTGAGTTCCAGCTGTGATTCCTGTGGATGGTACACACAGTGTTGCCACTGCATCAGGCCAAATGTTGAAGAGGGCAGATTGAGTACCAATCAAACTGCTTTGTCCTGGATGGTGTTGAATTTCATGAATGTTGTCGGAGCTGCACCCATCCGGGGAAGTGGAGGTATTCCATCATACACCTGATTGGTGCCTTGTAGATGGTGAAGAAGCTTTGGAGAGGCAGGAGGTGAATTGCTTGCTGCAGGATTTCCTGCCTCTGACCTGTTCGTGTAGCATCAGTAGGCTTCATAGGACTGAATGCATGTCTCTTCACTACGAGTTTGAATGTTCTATAAGAGTACTTTTAGGAATACCTCATAAATATGGTACATCCACTGATATTCCTGGTGAAAGTTTAGACAATCCAGAATGCTTGCCCACCTCTGCCTCCATCCTAGATTGCAATAGCTGCCTAAAAAGGAAATAATACTATCACCAGCACTGTGTTTTTCTTCATTGATATATACCAAAAATAATATACACTGAATCTTTAGACCTGCAAGGCTCTGCTAAGACCTCATTTCAAAAACTTATATAATATTATAAAATAACTTTGAAATCAGTAAATGCAATGAAATTGAATGTGGGTAAGTTTCTACCTTTATTGTGGGGAGGGTTGGGGGCTTTACTTAAGTGGGACAGTGAGCTGGGACAGTGAGCTGGGAAGGCTTTTTTTGATGGGAGGCAAATCTTGCTGGATTGGGTGCAGATTGTGCAATAACTTTCTGCCAACTGCCTGTAAGCTTTTCACGTGCAGCTGCATCTGTATTAATAATGAATGAGGAACTTTAGCATTTGACAGAGCCTGTTTATTATAATCATAGTGCAGCCATAGACATTGCACTGTAAATTGGTTTTATAAAATCTAAAGAACTGTATTTTTTCAAGTAGTCTGGTAAAATTTATGAAGTTTTTTTAAAACATGTTGAAAATAGTATTCAGTTACAATGTGTCATGGCATACTTGTGATTGCTACCTTCTCAATACTCATCCTACCTTCTGAAAGGCAACCAGGGATAGGCAATAAAATACATTAAAATGGATGGGATAGTTCCATTAAGAAAGTATCAAAGGGATATTACAGAAACAATTGAAGAGTGGCGTAGTGGCATCAGTAACACTTTTTTCTTAGTTACAGAAGCCAGAAACTGCTTGAATGTCACCCAGAGAGATTTGATAGGTCAGGTTCAGTCTGACGACCAGGATATGACTGAAATGGCAAATTGATGTTTCTGTTGGGCACCTCCTGTGGAATTCACCTGACTAGCTGCCATACAAAAACCTGAGGGTAAGATCTGAAGAAACATTGAAGACACACTTAAAAATGTAGCTGAATGTCTGTCACACTTGTTTCCAGGGTAAGGGGAAATAAAACATTGAGGCAATTCACAATCAGTATTGATAAACTATTCTCTGCTTGAATGGCAGCAGAGATACCAGAATTGGCCTCAGTGCCCTTGGCCTGGTTAGTTAAAATAGGTGAGTGTTCCAACTCCAGTTATTATCCAGCAGCCCTTATTGCTTAACAATGAATAAGAGCATGAGCTAATTCCCTTTTGTGCCTCTATGTTCAAAAAGATTAATGTTACCAAGTGTCAAGGTTCAACTCTCAAACTTCACACTCAAAAAGCTGGATGTGATTAGTATATTGTGCTGAACTGGCTTGATTTAAAATTAATGGAAACATATCAATCAGATGGTGAATGTGGTTACTGTAAAATGTGATTTACCCTATACAATAAATGCAACAGCTTGCTGTCCATCACTAATTCTGGCTACGGTACATTTTTAAAATGTCATTTGTAGGTTTATTGTGTTTTGGGGATGATTTACACTCTCTCTGCTGCAGCTGTGCAGGTGGCCCAGGTGACTTATTGATAAAAATACATATCTACCAATTTTAAGAACCCCATCTAACTGCATTCTGGAGGTTATGCAGATAAGATGTTGGCTAGGCTGGCAAGTTGGCTGCTATATTACGCTGAATAACACTAATAGTGTCAGGCTGATTCCTAGTCCAGTTGGCTGGTCCATTAGGCTGTAAAACCTATAAAATTCCCCAGATAAGGCTCCTTTCACCTGCCCATGCAGCCATGACTGGTTCATAATGTTGCAGAGAGCAGGCAAGGATAAAGATCGTGGAAAGAGTTTAGGAAAGTATGCAAACTATTCAGGCTTTGGGTGTGGCAGCCGGGGACATTCCTCAAGGGCCTCTGTCTAGGTTGAGTGAGCCACTTATAAAGTCTGCAACCATTTCCAGCTACTCCATTGAGAATCCACTATCCCAGGCCTCAGCTCCCTTCCAGCCCCTGAGACAGCTGACACAAAACTGGTCCTGGACCTCAGGACTTAGAATCTGGTGCCTACTTGTGATTCCAGTCCTGAGTACTGCTGCTGTTGGGATTAGACTGACCAGAAACCCTCTGAGCTGGGACTTTTGCCTATTTGAAGGAAGCCTTGCCTCCAGTCACTTAATGCTCCTCAGAGCCAATCAATCCTTGAGCCTGTTTGACAATTGAATGAGATCATCCTGATATGTATTTTTGATTTTGTCCACCCGTCTTGGCTCTATATCCTTCAGAAATATAGCCAGCAAAAATCTATCAACCTTAGATTTAAAATTATTAAATTAATTCCACGCTTCTAGAGCCCCCTGCTAGAAGAAGTGTTTTGAACCTTTCTCCTGATGACTTGGTTCAAATTTTAAGCTACATCACTGACCTAGATTGTCCTCGCAGCAGAAAAATGTGTATCCAATGTCCTAAATTCAACAATCAAATCATTCAGCAACTTTTTTATTCCAGGGAATACAAGTTTAGTTTATGTATTCCCACTTTATCATTTAATCCTTAGACGCATGAACTCCAAGTACTGCCTTGACTCAGCCGATAGTATCCTTGTCTATGAATATAGACTTAGGCACAGTTGTGATGACTTGAGCACGTTAAGTGGGTTGGCATTGTGTACAGTGGTGAGAAAACACTACACTTTGGGGTTCGAGACAACAAGGTGCAGGGCTGGATGAACACAGCAGGTCAAGCAGCATCATAGGAGCAGAGAGGCTGACGTTTCGGGCCTTGACCCTTCATCAGAAAAGGGGGAGGGGAAGGGGGTTCTGAAATAAATCGGGAGAGAGGGGGAGGCGGATAGAAGATGGATAGAGGAGAGGATAGGTGGAGAGGAAACAGACAGGTCGAAGAGCCGGGGATGGGGCCAGTAAAGGTGAGTGTAGGTGGGGAGTTAGGGAGGGGATAGGTCAGTCCAGGGAGGATGGACAGGTCAAGGGGGCGGGATGAGGTTAGTCGGTAGGAGATGGAGGTGCGGCTTGAGGTGGGAGGAGTGGATAGGTGGGAGGAAGAACAGGTTAGGGAGGCAGGGACGAGCTGGACTGGTTTTGGGATGCGGTAGGGGGAGGGGAGATTTTGAAACTTGTGAAATCCACATTGAT